TGATCTTCATCACCAAATCCTGACTTCAGTCACTTCCCATCTTTCCTCATGCATTAAATGCTACTTTGTGGCCAATGGGTTCGCTGCATTAAACAGGCACTACTTCATTAAATGAAGCCTGGGACCCTGTTGTCACGTGATGATTTGTCTTTAATGCCTTGGCCGCAATTTCGTTCGGCCTCTGCCTCGGCCTACGTTTGAGGCCGAGATGATCATGCCTTAGCATTTCTTCTTTTATTCTTTAAGGAAGGCGAATATGCCCTGGTGAAACGCTGCGTTTCAGCCTCTGCGAACAAGTGCCAGGGCCGAGAGAAAGGGCTCCTTCGGCCAGCTCATGGCCGTGATTTATCAGGCACAAACACTCCATTTTTGGGTTGCGAGTCTCTGCGTCGAGTAGAGCTTTTGAAGTGTAGAATACCCGATGTTATGCCCCCAGCTCTTCTCGGATGAGAGCTGAGCTGACAACTGAGTTGGAAACCGCCAGGTAGCTGTACAAGTCTTCATATGGTATCGGTTTTGATAGTAGGGGAGGTGTAGTGAGGTAGGTTTTTAAGTTTTGAAAAGCTACTTCGCACTCGTCATCCCCCTTGTCCTTGTGTCCTTTCTTCAAGGCTTTGAAGAATGGTCTTGTCGGCTGCGCAAATCTCACGGCCTGGGGTTCCGGGCCGAGGGGATGTGCGTTAACACATGGCTTCCTGCTTTCGGATGCGGTGCGGTTGTGCGCGGGCGTGCCAGCACGGTCTACCGTGCGTCGAGATGTTGATGTGGATAGAATGGTCAAGTGGTGTGCCTGTTTGAACTCGTCTTCTAATCAAACGATTGTAGCCGAGAAAGGAACTGATCTCGGCTGTTAGGTTCACGGCCTGAGCTACAAGGCCGTTTAGGGGTGGTGCTGATGGTGGGTTTTGGGCGGTGCTCCGGCGCGCTGCTCAGTGAGCGACGGTCGTATGATATATGGGGTGAATGAATGAGTAGCAGAGATGGTGCTCCGGCGCCTTGAAAATCAAGGGTCGTATGATATATTGATGAATGGATTTTCCTTACAAACTAACGCTACTCCTAGGAAAGCAAGTAAAAATATTGAAAGTGCATTACAGGAAAATATAATTTGCTCCGTGGGAGGCTTTTGTTTGGTGTTTGAACCCTGTGAATGTAGCTTGAGCCTTGTATTTATAGGAAGAGTTCTTGGAGGAATAATCGAGGCTAAAAATCTGCATGGTGGAGCCTTATTATAGCAAGTAGGTAGTCCAATCGACATTTGGGATCGTGAAGTTTGGTGGTGTGACCCCATAAATCCCGGTGAATCTCAGCCGCCGCCCTGATCGTGGGTTCTGCGCTTTTGGCTATGGAGACGCATTTATTGTTTCTGATAGTTGGTGACCTAATCTCTCAATCTGCAAGAATTCTTGTGAGAATGTCTGCGTCTAATCACTCTGATTCCTATCACCAAATCCTGACTTCAATCACTTCCCACCTTCCCTTGTGCATTAAATGCTTATTCGTGGCCAGTGGGTCTGCTGCAATAAACAGAGGCATTGCTTCATTAAATGAAGCGTGGGACCCTGCTGCCACTTGATGATCTGACTTTAGTACCTTCGGCCGTGATTTTGTTCGGCTTCGGCCTCGGCCTATAATCAAGACCAAGATGATCATGCCTTCACAACTTTTCCTTTGCTTTTTAGGAAAGCCAAACATCTTGGCGAAATGCCGCGCTTTAATTTCACGAGCAAGTGTTAGGGCCGAGAAAAGGGGCTCCTTCGGTCAGTTCATGGCAGTGATTTATTAGGCGCAAACATTGCCCCCACATCCCCAGATTCTTCGGTCTCGGCATGGGTAGGGGTCGAATGGATTCCAGGGGATGGACCCTTTGCATTCCTTCAGAAGTGATTGACAACTGGTGCATTAAATGCGCAGGCCAGTCGGCGCATTTAATGCCCAAGCACGTCGTGCAGGCCATCATTGCCCAGACTTACGCGAGGCGTCGCTTCATTTCGTCAGACGAAACGACGGCCTCTGGGCTTTCGACACGTCATCGTGCTTTTTGAGCACGCTGTCAGAACGTTACGTCTCTTCAGAGAGCCACGCCCTTTCGTTTTCGAATTCTAGCGCCAATATAAAAACCCAGACTTCTTCGTCTCTTCTTTACGCTTTCAGAATTCTCAGACTCCCAAACTTTGCCAAAAACCTCTCTCAATCCTTCAATCCCACCACGCTCATAAGTCCCCAAGTTTACCAGAGAACCTTGCCTGTAACCACGATGTATGGGGATGGAGAACTTGGTGCAGTTCTCTCCTGCCGTAGCGTCCCCTTGTGGGTGTGACATGCGCTTGTCCTTGTTCCTGTTGCTAAACCCGTCGCTTCTTTGGCCTGCCCGCTTAGTCAGCTGATCTTCCTGCTTAGTAGACTTCTTCCCAGCGATTCGATCATCGTCCCAGAGCGCATAGCGTTCCGCGGTCACGAAGACCTCTACCAGAGTCTGGCTGGGAGCGATAGTTAGCTCGCGGTATAAGTCGTGTTCAGCTAGAAGGCCTTTCTTGAAAGCAGAGGACACGATCCGGTTGTCACATCATTTAATGTTGGCCTTTTCTGCTTTGAATCTCTTGATGTAGTCTCGAAGGGATTCATCGGACTTCTTGCGTAGGTTGTACAAGTGATCGGGGTTCTTCTTGATCATCCGGTAAGAGGTGTACTCTTTGGTGAAGACGTAAGCCAGCTCTTTGAAGCTGCTGATCGACTCGGATGGTAGAGTGTGGAACCAATCTTGGGCTGCTCCTCGCAAGGTCATTGCAAACTCCTTGCACATCAGCGCGTCGTCAGCCTTGTGGAGGATCATGACACTTTTGAAGTGTTTTAGGTGGCTCTCGGGATCGGAATCCCCTTTGAAGTATGTAAACGAAGGCGTTGAGAATCGCTTCGGGCGAGCAACCTGCTCGTTTTCGGGGGTGAAAGGCGTAGAGTTCGCCTGGTCCATCTCCTTACGTAGTGCATCTTCAAAGTTCCCGCCAATCTTCAAACCTCGAAGTCAGTCATTCACAAGCCTCTCAACGTCTTCCGAACACATTGCCGGTTGGTCACGCTGGCAACCTTCGCGATTTGGACGACACTGATTGACCTCCTCATTGATTCGCAAGGTTCGAGCTTCTCGACCGCTGCCTAGGCGGCGTGTTGGTGGACTGCGCTTGCGAAGGATTCTCTGTAGCTTGTCGACAAGGATCGACTCTTCAAGAGTGAGCAGCGAAGCGCCTTTCCTCATGGTCCTCATTGTGAGGGTTATCAGGTTGACCTCCCTAGGAGCCTAGCCTTTCGTGAATGTTCCCCTACGAGTGGGCAGCGGAGTGCCTTTCTTAACGATCCTCATTACGATGGTTGTCTAGTCGACCTCCCTGGGAGCCTAGCCTTTTATGAACATTTCCCTATGGTCCCATGCGGGTGCAGATGTCCAATCGTGGGCCCAGCCTTTCGCGCACGTTGTTCCTTAAACATAATCTGGATGGGTGACTTTGTCCGCTATGAGTGTCTCGCGGATGCTTGTGGCACGTCGGCAAGCCGATCACATTGTTGCCCTTCCCCTTGTCTACTTACTCCTGCTCGACCTGCTTGGTACCTATTGAGCTGCCTATCGGCGCATTCGTCTATCCTTCTCTCTTCGCCCAGTTGTCCAAGGCCAAGGTTTTGAGCCAAGCTTATTTGGTTGAGGAGCTGCCTCATCAAATATCTCTGGTCGTCCATTCTCTGAGTTAGTTGGTCAACTCTTAGATTAAGGTCTGCTTGACTTCGTCGATTGGGAGGAGAGAAGTGTGTGGAGCCCAACTGCATACGGGCTAGGGTTTCAAGGGAGGTGTACGTGGGAGCGTGCGTCGAGCGTGGAGGCAACGGAGGGAATGCTTGAAGTTGTTCCAAGATCGAGACCAGGTCAGCGGCGGCAATGAGCCCACCTTGATGGGAGGTTCCACCATGCTCGGTGGTGGAGCCATGAAGGTGGCTAGATCCGGCCACGGGGCCTTGGGTTGACATGGCAACGTTGAGGTAGCCGTGATAGGAGGTTGCGGGTCTCACTTGAAGGATCATGCGTCGGGCTGACCGACGGATCGTGGATGAAGTTGACCGGAGAATCGTTGATCGGGTGGACCAAGGACTCGTAGGTTAGCCACCAACTCATTTGGTATTTTCCTGATCATTAATGATAAATGTAATTAGCGGGCATAATAAAAGCTTGATTATATCCCAACTATAATATCACTCGTGCCTTGATAAATAATAAAATTATTAAATAAGGCATGTTTATAATTTCATAATAAAATATTAATTATTAATATTTATTAAGAATAAACACTAATTCAAAATAAATATCAAATACCAATACTTATTAGGAAAGTGTATTAATAAAACATTAAACATTAATATTAATATGATTATTAGAAAATGTCAAATGACGACTTGGAGAGAGAGGGCTTATATCTGTTTGGACGCGAGATGACCTATTTGCAGAACCGTTCGAACCCAAGCGCGGAGCTCAGTAGCCATTGATGCGACGAAGAGGCTGGATGTCACGGGAGATCGACAAATCCGAGCCTCCTGGAATCTACGGTGGCCGCGGAAAGGCGAGGAGAAGAGCAGAATGGCCTCCTGGGAGCTGGGCAGTTCCGACGGAACTGCAATCGGCGCGTCGGAGATTCTCCGGTATTGAATGGCGCTGCAATTTCTGGTTTTTTACCGATCGGAGGATGCTGGTTTCGATGGCGCTAGTGGCGTCGCGAAACGACGTCGGGACGGACCTCCAAGAAACTTGGCCGCGACTTCCAGTTTTTCTGGAGGTAGTCGTCGGCGAGTTTCCGGCGTCAAGTGGCGGAACTTCGTGCTGGCGTCTACTGTTCGGACGTCGACAAACGCGATGGTACCGTCGGTGTGGCCAGGCGACGAGCAGAAGTCGCTGATTCGTAAATGGCAGCGGCTGTAGAGAATTTCGCAGCCGCCTGGGGCTGTATTCCGGCGGCTGTGAGTGGGAGAGCTCGTTCCGGCGTTTGCAGTCCAGACGATGGGCGGAGGCCGTCGCTTTGAAGATGGTAGCAGCTGGAACTTTTCTCGACGCCTTTTGGGTTGTTTTTCTGCGGCTGCGTACGGTGCCAGCCGCTGGGCTTGGAGGTAAAGGACCGGTGTTCATAGGAGGAGAGGTTTCGCGTTGGCTGGCAGTGGCACGCTGGTTGCAGATTGCACAACCACGGGTGTCTAGAGAAATTCCTCTTGATCTCGATTTTTCCTCCTTTTTTTTTTATACAGAGAGGAAAATGGCCATCGGGTGGCTTGAGAAAATTTCGCCAACAAGAGTTAGTTGTTTTCGCGGTGTTCTTCATTTTTGGGCCTCTCACCATGGTGATTTGAAAACTTTGGATTGATGATGGAATCAATGAATAAAGGGGGAAATGGATTTCCCTGATTTGGATTCGAGAGCATCGCATTGAGTATATCTCGAACCTCTCAATGAAAGCACCAATTTGTGGGAGCAAATTTCCCCACCAGAATATTCGAATGGGAAGATTCCTCTTTCTTCTTCGCCGCCTCTTTCTCCCTGCAAAATAGAACAAATGAGAGGACCACGCCCGGGGGGTGTTGGCCAAAGGCCCTCCGATGCCTAAATTAGTTCAAGAGTTTATAAGAAAAACACTAGCTAACTAGAGTGCGGAGATATATGTGTTTATGGTATAAACCGGGTGGCCGGAGCCGAGGGGAAGAGAGGAGGCGGCTAGGGTTTTTGAGAGGAAAATTTAGGCAGAGTTTTGGTAGTAATTCTGACGTACCTCAACCCTTGTGTGTGGCCATCTTTTTATAGAGGTCTCGGGAGCTAGGGTTTTAGAGGAATAATTCCGTAGATGGAAAGCAATTATTCCTCCCCAATTTGGGATTGATTTGATTAATTAGAGATTTGATTTATTAGGAAAATAATCAAATCCCTAATTGTGGTAGGTATCAAATCAATTTCCGACTTAATTAGGTAACTCTCAATTTAATTGAGTAACCCCCAATTAGGTTGAGTAATTCCCAATTAGGTCAAATAATCCCCAAATTGAAGGAATTATTTGACCTAGGGTTATGATTTAATTCGGTTCCCACAGAAGTCATTGCAAAAGCTTAACAAATCGATTTTTTTTTCAAAGTTAGGAAGTTTCTCATACACACTGTCAAGGTGACATAGGGGTTCGAGCTTAACAAATCAACATGAATATAATTACCACTTAGAAAAATATAAGTACTGAATAAATCGATATGAGCTATATTTTTGCCCAAAACATTCAGATTTTGGCACAAGCACAACTATAATGGTAACAGATGTACAATTAAGAGTGTCACTAGTTGTAATTATGCATGCTACAATTCTCTTCGATTACGCAATGTAAGTTTTTTTTTATCAATGGGAGGGTGATTCGAGGTTTTTCAACATTGTACATAAAAGTACCTTTAGACTAAGCGCTAAAGGTTTCAACATTATTATGCAGTGTAATTTGGTTTCATCAACTTGTGTGTATGTTTTCTACAGAAAGAAACTTCAAAATTTCCATTTATTTTGAATATCTATAAACAATCAGTAAGGATACAAATACAAACATAGGCAGAGGCAACAAGACTGCAATTAAAACAGGACATGAAAGGATGAAAGGACAAAATGGAAATCTACATGTAAGGATAGTTTTGTGCCAAAGTAAACCATGGAAAGAAAAGCCCTTGAGTCAATCATGATGAGCTTGAGCAACTTGAGCAAGGGTTCTTGAAATAATAACGTCTGAGAATCATTTTCCACTTGTGCCAGCCACCGGCACAAAACGTGTTCACCTGCTTTTGGAGTTCCAGATACTCGAAATTGTAGAGTCTATTGTCTTTGTAAACTCTACTGAAGAAACATGCCACGTCCTTGCTGAGAATCTTTCGCATGATTTTTTTCTCAACCAGAAACTCGACATCTTTATTCGACTTGATAAGGTTATCCAAGACCACAACATAAGAAGTGATTTGATATCCTAAGGAAGGCTGACATTGTTCGTAGGCAATGAGGTTTCCAAACAGAGATTCTCTGTTCTCCTCAAGTACTAGTATTGGTGGGATTTCCAGCACACCATTTTTGAAAGTTATGTTAAGCATGCTATTATCTTCTTCCTTCCCACATTCAAATTTGACTCCAGCTTGACGAAGTACCGTTACAGATGGAATCAAGTCTGAAACTATTGAGTCGTCGTCAGACTGGCTTTGCTCGTATGATCCAAGTAAAGAGTTTCTGATGAAATCAAGTAAATGCCTATTTTTCAATTTTCCACTAGGCTTTGGGGATTGTAGCAGCACGTATGATTTAAGGACATTGAGAATTAACATAGGTAACGGAAACATTGCTGATTCGCCGGTGAGGTCAAATAAGCATTCAAGAACTCTCCAAGGAAGTTGGTTTTCAAGTAGAAGCAAGTCATTCATAACTTCCCAAAGGATCCCTGCATTAGAAAATATTAGATCTCCATCGACTGGAGAAACTTCTTCAGTACACCTGCGTAAGAATTCAAGAATAAAGCAACCATCGATCACCATCATTTCAACAAATTCGTCATCGCTAAGATCTACTTTTTCCCCATAACAATCTCGACAAGCACTTTCTATAGGTCGAATGCCTTTGACAAGATCCTCCATCTTGGTTTCCAGAGGTGGCTTTCGGTCAATTAAGAGGGAACGCAAGTAATGTAGCTTAATTTTTTCCATGCCTTTTAGGTTCTCCTTTCCATGGTGAAAGGGTCCGATTGAAACTACGGATGGAATGAAAGCTTTTTCATTTTGCTTGCGTAGCACGTTAGGGATTTTGTATATGCAACGATGAACTGAAAATGGATCTGACCCCTTTTTAAGCTTTTCTATAAGAGAGATTGATAACAATTCATCGGCATTTCCATTCTCATTTTGTGCTGCCGACACAGATCCTTCCCCATCCTTATTTGTATCCAAGGAATCATCACTTTCATTGCTGTTTGGAGTTGTCATGAACTCTGTTTCTTACTCCAAATTAGTCTAAATCTGCTTTTATATTAATAAAAGGCAAACAGGATAATTAGTCAACAAAACTTCCAAAATTTTGAACCAGTAACAATGTCGCCTAATGTTATGTAACGATTAAATATATGTTTCATTGACTGTTTAAAGCTTAATCTCATTTGATGCAGCAGAATTAGGCTTCGTAGACATATGATTAACGATCATCTGAATTGGTGTAGAAAGAGTTGAAATCTCCATGGTATATGATAATTTCTTTTTAAAAAAACCTTTTAAGTAAAGATTAAAATCCTAAAACTGAAGTGTTTACACATATTTGATTAATTACACATGATATATATTTGAAAGAGAAGCATGTTGCTTACATGACTATGTAAAAGAGGATGATCGAAGTTGGATGCGATTCAGCTTACAGTTGGAATCTCTGTGGTCTTGCTTTCATTTAGAATGGGGGAGAGAAACTGCAGTGGGCGATGAATTGAATGGCCTAGAGCCTTCTTCCGATTTACATATCTGCATCCTATATAATAAATAATTAACATCATCGACGCCGCCGGTGGTCCAGAAGTCATGTAAGTATAGAAAATTGAAAGTAGCTGAATAATTAACAAATGTTAAAAATGTATCATATGATGCAAGTCTACTTAAATAAATTCAGGTCTTTATTTATTCCTGCATTATTTTTTGTACTTATATTGCATCTTGTTGCAGTCTTGCTTGGATTTACTTGTTGTAGGTCAACAATGCCACCGGAGATTCTGTTTTTGAGTAGGTAGAAGGAATTATATAAGGTTTCATGGAGACACTCTGTGGTTACTTTGGATTATATATACACGTTTCGTTTATCACGTGTAAGTTTGGATTATTATGATTTAAAATGGAAATATCTCCATAAATATTCAACGATCCGATTTTTATTAAATCTCCTTGATTTACCCAATCTCCTTATTTATGGAAAAAAAAAATAATTCCCTTAGATAAGGAATTATTCTCCCATAAATCATACCAAATATAGCACAAGATGATAAGGCTATATAAAGATAACATTGTATCACAATGAGTTAACTTCCAAACCCTAACCACTCTCTCTCTCTCCCATAGAGAAAACTCCCTTCCTTTCAGAAATATCTGTATCTTTTAAAGACCATATTCTGACTTAGGCATCGGAGGGCCCCTGGCAAACACCACACCAGTGTTCTCCAATTGACCCTTTTTATTTTACAGGGTTCTTGGAAGAATTCATTAAAGAGGTGCGAGCATCTTCTATGAATCTACCCGAGGAGAAAATTGCATCCAAAACTATTAAAGAGGTGCAAGCATCTTCTCTGAAGTCTACTTAAATAAATTTAGGTCTTTATTTATTCCTGCATTATTTTTTGTACTTATATTGCATCTTGTTGCAGTCTTGCTTGGATTTACTTGTAGGTCAACAATGCCACCGGAGATTCTGTTTTCGAGTAGGTAGAAGCAATTATATAAGGTTTCATAGAGACACCCTGTTGTTACTTTGGATTATATGTACACGTTATGTCTACCCTCTATACCGTTAATCACCTGTAACAAAAAATAAATAAACAAAAATGTTAACAGAACTAAAACTCTCTCCGTCCTTCACCCGATGCCGTCACCAAAGATCGAAAAGTTCATTTCTATAAAGGCTTATTTACTGTAGTACCCCTACAATAATTTTCCACGACTTCTTCAATGCATTCCATTTGTTTCAATTTCGTGTCAAAAACCTTCTCAACTGTAAAATAATAATCACAACAAATCAAGAACCATCTGAACATCGATCAAATACTGGAGGGAGATCCAAATCTAATAAATGATCAAATGTATGATCACCACTAACCATTTTTTATAACAACTTATGTAGATTTGACTAACTACACAACTGGCGCGCAGATCCTCCCCAGGATTTCAGTTTTGCAACTGAATCCCGTTCTGATACCAACTGATGCAGCGGAACAAGAACAAAAGATAATTTTCAAGCAAACTTAACTCCGTTGATTCTAAGAATACCCGGAATTAAAACTCTAATCTGTTAATTCTGAGAATACCCAGGAAAAGAGTAAAGAGATGAGAGAAAATTCTCAATCTTCATTCAATAACAAACATCAACTCCCCTTTCTTACAATTTCATGCATTATTTATAGGAGTCTCTCAATCAAGATGAGATAACTCCTCATAACTCTCCTAAACCTTTCATATCCCAACTTCCCTCCTAATGATAACTTCACATTAAATCTCCCTAACTCACAAAGATGAAAAGACTCTCCATAACTTTATTCATGAACCTAGATAACTCCCACATACGAAGAGACACTTATTTAATATAGGTTATTAAGACTTTCCTCATGCATGAACGTGATCCCAATGGTCCATGTATGTATTTGCTAAACTCGCTGCATCAATAAGTCAATTTTTAATGATAATAACAAAATGCATTTCATACTCAACAAAATACTAGCAATAACAATTAAAACAAGGGGTCGCTTTCTCGCTACTCGAGGAGAGTCGGGCATCAAATATTAGGGTTTAGGTTTCTCATGTTCAGTCGTCATCCCCTCCTCGGCCTAACCACGCTAGTTTTCATCCACGTTCAGCCGCCGTTGTCGCCCTCCTCATCGCTTTTCTTCCACATCAAGTCGTAGGCGTTTTTCTTCCATGTCGAGTCATTGTCGTCACTCCTCTCCTCGACTCTAGGGTGTTGGCCTCGTTGTTGTCTCTCTCATATCCTGGGCGTTGGTTTCATCGTTCACTTTCTCCTCGGTGCGTCAACGTCTCTAGAGGTTGCCTTGGTATGGTGGTTTAAGCTGGTCTGCTTCTGTTATTGTGCCAACAGTCTCCAACTCAACAACGATCATGGTGCAAGGTGCTTCGTTAGGGTCGGTGGCCACGGTGGAGGTGGCTTTCCTCTCGCCCCCTCCATTGTCCGATATGCGATCTCAAGTCTTACCTTTAGGAGAAGACGGCCCATGTCTAGAGATTTGGCGTGGGTGACTCTTCACCTAGGGTCTATACCTTTGATCCTCCTTTTCACAATGTTGGGCCAGGTTTTTGGCCACTAGGGTTGTTGGGTACCATCTTCTCACCCATCTTTACTGGTTTGGCTAGTTACTTTGCAATGGGAACCGTGAATCTGGGTGATGTTGGTGTCCTTCTTGACAAACCTATGGAGATTGGCCTAGTGGAGTCTCCTAGACGTCTTCCTTAATGTGTTCTTGGAGCATTCGTGGGGCTTGGCATCCGATGAATGCTCTTATGCCTGATCCCCGTGTTCAGGTTGTGTGGCTAGGCCAGTTTTGTTATTGTTGCGTGGTGTTTTCTTCGTTCTCCCCTTAGCTAATCTTTAATTTTCCGTCTTTTTCAAGGACTATGTTTTCATAGGAGGTTTCTTTGTCAGTGTTGAGATGATACGGCGTGCTTGGGGGCTTTTTTATTTATTTTCTTTCCTGACCTGTTTGCAGTTAGTCTCGTCTTTGTGTTGCTCCTTGCATATTTCTCTTCTTTCATTGCCAATTGCTATTGGGGGTAGTTGGAGATGGTGTGCTTAGTTACTGTTTTCTTTCTTCTTAGCATATTGTGTTCTCTGTCGGATGTTCTCACTATCTTGTGACTGTGCAAAGGACTATGATTTCATAGCATGACTCTTTTGACAGTTGGATTGTGTTGTAGTGTTCTCGTCGGAGGTCTTTGCGTCAAAGGTCTATGTGTCAGTTTGCTGTTTTATTTTATCTTACTCTAGCATTGGTCTTGTGTGACTGTTTCAGACTCTCTTGTTAGTCTATGACATGTTTGGTACTCTTTCCTACCTTGAGGTTGTCCCTCAGGAAAGTTTTAACGAGGCTACTGTTTCGTGTCATTCTATGTACGCTACTTTGATTCTATGAATTAATGATTTCCATTTCTATAAAATAAAATAATAAAAATGCATTTCATGTTATGATGATACCTAGAACAGGGTAACTTGTCTCCATATTATAACCCTTATTTACAATAAAGTTACAAAAACTGTATTGAGAAGACAACTTAGAATGGAGAATCAGATTCACTATAAAGCAAGCAACATGAACTGATGCTTTGTCTTACTACTATCGTGGGAACATAGAATTTCAGCAACCATCCAGGTGACGCCACGTGGAAATTGGAATATGCCCTAGGTCAAGTAATTGCGTCAATTAAATTCTCATTTAATTGGTCAATTATTATGATTTAAAATGGAAATATCTCCATAAATCAACGATTTTCATTATATCTCCTTGATTTACTTAGGGGATTTACCCAATCTCCTTATTTATGGAAAAGAATAATTCCCTTAAAAAAAAGAGTTATTCTCCCATAAATTATACCAAAGATAGCACAAGATGATAAGGCTATATAAAGATAACATTGTATCACAATATTACCATATGTGTTGTATCAAAGTCAAACTGTAATTGTATAAAGCAAGCATAAATAGGAATCAATACTCATCGAGCTATTCCCCAAATATCTGCTCTGTTCTAATTCTTCTTCACTGCTCTAATTTTTCTATAGTAAGCACCTACACTATCCTCCCATGAATTTTTCTTTTAAATTCAATTGTCAAATTAGGGAAAAATAAAAGGGTATATATAGGATGAGTCTGGTTCAAGAGACTTTTTAACACAAAATAAGACACATATATGTGATTTTATTTCGCAACTTGCACAACATTGAGAGAAGTACAATTGCATAATTGAAGAGCAATTTTGTGGTACGTAGAACAGAATGGAATACTACAATTGCCAGGATAGTTTTGTCCCGAGAGAATCCATAGAATCAAATGCACAACAGTACGTGAACCATTACGAGCTAGAGCAAGGATTCTTGAGATAATCCCGTCTAAGAATCATTTTCCATTTGTGCCAGGGACTGGCAAGATATGCGTTCACCTCCTCCTGGACTTCTGGGTAAGAGTATTTGTAGAGTCTAGTGTTAATGTAAACCCTACTGAAGAAACCGGCCACCTCCTTACTGCTCCAAACCTTTTCTAAGATTTTTTTCTCAGCCAGAAACTCTACATCTTTTCTAGATTTGAGAAGGTTATCCAAGAGCAAAACATAAGAGGTAATTTGATATCCTAAGCCATGCTGACATTGTTCATAGGCAATGAGGTTTCCCAACAGAGATTCTTTGTTCTCCTCGAGCACTGAAATTGATGGAATTTTCATCACTCCATTTTTGAAAGTTATTTTAAGCATTTTATCACCTCCATTTCGGTATCTAAATTTGACTCCAGCAAGACGAAGCTCTGTTACAGAGGGTATCATGTGGGATTCTTCTGAGCTTGCGTTTGACTGGCTTCTCCCGTATGATCCAAGTAAAGAGTTTCTTATGAAGTCAAGTACATGCCTATATTTCAAATTTTCATCACTAGGCTTTGGGGGCAGTCCCCTGGTGTATGCATTGAATGTATTTTGAATAAGCTCAGATAAGTCAGGCTTTTCTAATTTGCTTGTGCGGGAAAATAAACATTCAAGAGCTATCCAAGGAATTTGATTTTCCAGTAGAACCAAGTCATTCAAAACTGCCCAACGCATCCATGATGTAGAAAATAGACGATCTTCGCTGTCTGCAGAAACCACACCAGCATATCTTGCGAATCTGTTGCAGAATTCAAGAATAAAGCAACCATCAATCACCATCATTTTGATAAATTCGTCAGTAGTCATACCAATATTTTCTGGATAACAATTGCGACAAGCTTGCTCAATAGTTCTGATGGCTGTGACAAGATACTCCAGATTGGGCTCTGGAGGAGGTTTTCGGTCAAGGTCAAGGAGGCAACGCGAGTAACTTCGCTTAACTTCTTCCATAGTTTTAAGGTTTTCCTTTCCACGGTGAAAGGGCCCAATTGAAACCAAGAACGGAACAAAAGCTTTTTCATTATGCTTGCGTAGCAAGTCAGGGATTCGATATATGCAACGATCAACTGAAAATGGATTAGATGCCTGCTCAAGCTTTTTTTCAATCAAGGATGCTAACAATATATCTTTATTTTGATTTTCATTATTTGCTTCCGGCACGGATCCTTCCCTGTCTTTAGTTTCAGGTTCAATCAAGGGCTGGTTACTATCATTGCTCTCTTTCGTCATCGACTCGTTTCCTGACTCCAAATTAGTCTGCATCTGCTCTCAATCAATAAGAGGAGAAAATAGAAACTATCACAAACACATGTCAATAAAATTACAAAAATCACAACCAGTAAGAAAGAATCTCCCAAAATCTGATCTGCTTCATGTACGAATTCAATGTTTCACACGACTCTTTAACAGGTCTATTAAAGCTGAAGGATATACTATTACTATTGCATCATACATATGTAGAAGGGAAACATGTTGCTTACTTGGCAATATATTTATAAGAGGTTTAAACCTTGGCCGCTGTTGAAGAAGATGATCGAAGTTTGTTGCGATTCTGCTTACAGTTTCAATCTTTCTTTCATTAACATCTTCTTATAGCTTTAGCTAGGTGGTAGGTACATACAAAAACAATAGAGTTTACAGCTCGGGGTCCAGGTCTAATTATATTTAATTGCATCCTTGCCGCCGGAGACCCAGAAGGTATGTCTATATACAAGTCTTTATTTAAAATTTGATCACATGATATCATGTACTTGCATAAGTCCAGGTCTTTATTTATTCTTTCTTGCACATTAGTTTACTGCAACCATGTTGCTGTCTCTTGTAGTTTGTTTCGATTTACTTGTACGTTATCACTACTGTCGAGATTCTGATTTTGAATACTGAAGGAAGTTGAGGTTCCACCCCAAAACCAATTGGCAATGGGGGGAGTAGCCCAACTCCTTATAAGCCCTTGCTAGGTTTCACAACTTTCCAATGTGGGACTCTTTGCCTTCACATTCTCACACGCCCCCGCATATGTGACGAATTTTCAAGCCTAACACGTAGACAACACATTGGGTGACGTGGAGCACGTATGGCCGTTGGGCTTTCATATGTGGACTAGCCTACTCTGACACGAGAGTGAGTACCATTAAACCAAAAGTACAACAAATACTGGCAAACATATATTTTTTTTTTTTCAATTTCATCAATGCACTAGGTGTCATTCAAATTTGGGACAGTCTTAATTATTGAAGAGAGGAGTATCATTAAACCAAAAGTTTAACAAATATTGGCACACCTTATGTGACGGATGAGGTGGAGAGCCACATCAATTAAAATTAATTTGACATTTTCTTTTATTTTATAATTTACTGACACTTTTTAATTGATGTGGTTGTCCACTTCATCTGTATTTGATGCATTTGTTACTCTCACATTTTGAGCATTAATGGCTAAAAAAATTTATAACCACATGCACAAAATCAAAAAACTCTACACTTTATAGTGGACATAATTAATATACATATAATCTACCTCGCCAAAAGGTAGGAGAAAGAGAAGGTATTTGAAATCTTTAGATTCAGGTTATAAAATTCCATGTGAATTTGGCCCAAATCCAATCCAGTTCATTAAGGCAGACACAAACAGGTCAGACTATAATGAGTGGAAATTTATGAGTGGTAAGTTATAAGGGGTTCACTTTATAGCCATCAGATCAATCCAAAGGCTAGGGAGAATTGAGATAAAGTTTT